CCTAACAGGAGTAGCCTTAGCCTAGTTTGACGACAAGCCTATATGATGATGAGGTCACAAACTCACAAGGCACACAAAAGTGTACTAAATGAAACAATTGATGCAAAATGGCTACATGCTAGTGGAGCCTGAGGGTGGAGCTAATTATTTTTATTTTTAGTTAAGGAAAAATAATTATTCCATGAATTAAGATAAATTATGAAGTGAAAATATCAAACTCACTATGCAAGTAAATGAAGCATTGTTTATCCACCCACTCCCACAGACAGTCAGACAGATGCCAGCAGAGTCAGCAGCAACACAGAGACAGAGTTCCCTTCAGCTGTGTTTGAAAGCCAGTGGAAATATGAGAGAGGCTCAAAAGATGGGAAGAGGTTAAACATTAATATTAATGCCATTTGTTAAGTGTTCAAAAAGCTGGGCAGGAACAAGCTGGTAAAAAATGGAATCGTACAGATGTTTTTATTTATTACTATTATAGATAAATATACCAGTATCGTATCGTATTTGTGGTATTGTATCGAATTCTGGTGTCGTATCGTAAGTATCGGGTATCGTGATACTTATGGCAGGTATCATATCGAAGTCATAATTTTGGTATCGTGACAACCCTAGTACCAGCACAGGAGAAAAGCGATGAGCTGCTCTGGACGGTGGCAGCAGTAAAACTTATTTTATCCACCTAAAAACATCAATATCAGTTTGTGTTTGCAATATTTAGAATATTTCCCCTGCTTTACCTCCCAGTCAGACAGTCCTTTCTGACGGGGAACTAAAGCCGTTATTACGCTCTCTTCAAAGTCACCAGACTCCTTTGACAAAAACAGTACTTTTACGTTGCAGAACACTGGCGTTGCTGTCTACATCTGCCGCCATTAGTTAGTTTTTGTGTGACTTTAGTTCCTTGCTGGAAAGGGTTGTCCAACAGTAACGTGAGGCAGTCAAATGAGAATACGAGATGTGTGCACTTGCCATTTACAGTTAAAAAACCACAGATTTATGTAGAGGTCAGCGTCCTTTTAATAATTCCCTCTCGTTCCTTTTGTCCCTGATTGGCTCAGCAGACCTGAAGCAGGGGGCGGACCGAGACGAGACCCCTCCCCGGACCCCGACGGGTAACGCCCCGTCCTCGGAGTCCGACATCGACGTTTCCAGCCCCAGTAACGACCTTGTGTCGTCCAGCAACGACATTGTAGTGTCGCAAGAGGAGGACGAGAGATTGGCCAAAGAGCTGTCGCTCAAAGAGGCCGCTGCCCACGACCTCTCCCACCGGCCCAAACGGCGGCGCTTCCACGAGAGCTACAACTTCAACATGAAGTGTCCCACACCTGGGTGCAACTCATTGGGTGAGGGAACAAACAGGCAATGTTTTTTTTTTTTTTTTCATTGGACCAGACATCCCGCTCTCACGCACCAACCCTTAGTACATGTCTCTCCCATTCTCTCTCTCTCTCTCTCTCTCTCTGTCTCCCTCTTTTTCTCTCAGGTCATCTAACGGGGAGGCATGAGAGACATTTCTCCATATCGGGATGTCCTCTCTACCACAATCTCTCTGCTGATGAATGCAAGGTACACACACACACACAAAGACATATCAACAGGGCATCCAGGGTAAGAAGTAGGTGTAGAAACCATGACGCTGAAAGCTATTTTAAAACGGAAGCTCTCACCATTTCATGTATTTTCTGTTATCTTCCTTTTTTTCCATTTTTTTGTTGTATTTCTGACATCTGTAAAACTTTTTTCTGCTACTTTGGTGCTTTTATGATATTACTCATTAGTCAAACCAAGTTTCCTCTGTGGAAAATATCTCAGACATCGCACTGCGACCGAGTGTCCAGTGGACGAAACCAACAGACTTAAATCCAAGTTGTCAAGCTGCGAAGCTTCCAGGAACACGGAATTCTTTTTTTTTTCCCCCCTGCTGTGGGGGTTGTTGTGAGTCGTTGGTGGCAGACACCGTGTTGATGTTTTGTTAGGGCAAGGCATCGACGCGCGACAAACAGGCCGAGGAAAGGACGTTGTCACACCGTCAGGACGAGAATAGACACTCCACAAGAAACCAGGTAACGCACAAGCACACACACACACACACACACACACACACACACACACACACACACAC